TTCTTTTTCTTTTTCTTTTTCTTTTTCTTTTTCTTTTTCTTTTTCTTTTTCTTTTTCTTTTTCTTTTTCTTTTTCTTTTTCTTTTTCTTTTCTTTTTTCCTTTTTATTTTATTTTCCTTTTCCTCTTTTTCTTTTTTCTTGTTCTTTTTCTTCTTTTTCTCTTTTCATTTTTCTTATTTTTTTCTTTTTCACTTTTTCTTCTTTTTCTCTTCTTCTTCTTTTCAATTTTGCTTCCTTTTTCCCCCTTTTTTTTTTCCTTTTCGGTTTCCTTTCTCTTTTTGCTTCCCTAGTATGACAGCAACTATAAACTGACCATACCTTCCCAGGTTTGGCTTTATCTTATATTGGCTTTCCCGCCTGCCTTAAAAGAAAGCCTAGTTTCGTTCCTTTCCTTGAAACATCATTAAGAATTTCAGGATTTGGCTCAGTAGAAGTGCCCCAGCTTCAGGCCCAGAAAGATATTGCTCTCTTGCCATTTCACAGAACACTGTTCCCTGCAGGTGGTCTAATGCACACTCATATCCTTTACATTTTCTCTGAAACATCCCAGGCCTCTGCCTATACCACTGCTTCATCATTACAAACCATTCTCCTCCAGGCACTAAAACCCCCTTGTTTTACCTTCTTAAGTTAATGATACTTATCTTTACACTAGAAGAACATGCTACCCCTTTTATCATTCTCTTTCTCTTAATATCTCTGTCCCTTAATATTACTGCATGCCACTATGAACTCTTCTTTTTTTCTGAAATGAGGTAAATGTCAGCCATTTTAAAGAAAAAAAAACAATCAACCACCTCCCTTCTACAAATAAAAAGAGCTCTAGTATGTTTAAAAATATTATTTTGGAATGACAAGATATTGCATTATTATATGATTAATTAAAGTTTTAGAATATTGCAATGCATACTGGTAATAATGAGAAAGAAAAGCTTATAATGTATGTGCAGGGTCATGGTCCATATGGTCAAGGAATTTCTCAAGAGCATCTACAATTACTGCTGTGATTTTTTTTAAATATGCTGTTAGACAGTGAAAATAAAATTATATGAAATTTAACATCATTCATTTTTTCTCTCCTTACGGCCAGATTTCGATCTCCAGTCCTGGTGCTAGCACTGATATAAATGTTAAGAAAATTGCTGGTGTTAGTGATGTCTGTGAATCTATGAAGCAGCAACTTTTAGTCCTTGTGGAATGGGCTAAATATATTCCAGGCTTCTGTGAACTACCACTCGATGACCAGGTATAAGAAGAGACCAAAGAGAAAACTCTAATTACTGCTCTGTTATTCTTGTGATATTTAAATGTCATTCTTTTCTGTCTGAACAGACAGAGCTGAGTACTAGACCCACACTTAATTTTTTTTTTTAAGTTTTGAAATAACACCACCACAACAGAAAAGACATGACCAAAAAGAAGCAGCAAAGCAGCATGTCCTTCCGTGTTTTGTTCTTTCTGTAGTGTTTTGGAAGCAGAACTTTTTTCTGACCTTAAAACGTATTTATTTCATTTTCATCTTTCATTATAATATGGTATAAGACAGCATATTATTTAATTTGATGCAAGTTCTCTCTACTTGAAAAAACCAAAAGCGATTAGAATCTCAAACAAATTCCAAACATACCGATATCAATCTATAGCAAGTAATCTTTCATACAATACAATGTACTAAAATTATATTGTATATAATAAATGTAAGGGAAAAAAGCACCAAATCTTGAAAATTCATACGTGTTTTTATGACAGAGGTCTGATCTATCATCACATCTGTAGTATATCCTAATACATCAATGGCTTTCAAAGTAGGTTGTGCTGGCAAACCCAGAACCAGTATCACCACATTATGGTGATCAATTCTCTGACAAGCAGCCTCAGAAGATTAAGTCATTGCTTGGGATGTCTTGATTCCACACCAAAATCTGATTTATCTTGAAAATCACTCTGTGAACTGGAATTGTGTAAATCCTTCTCCAGTCTCTCAGTTTTTTAACAAAATCCTGTAAGTGTTAGGTCATCCTTGGTTTTGAACTGAATCATTCCCTCTTATATCATTCCTCAGGAATATGGATGTGTTTCAGGCCACAGGAGACTCCCCAAAAAAGGAGTTAAATGGGTTCTTTGCAGACCCACAGAGCACATATGTGCACAAGCTCAACATACTCGAATAAGTTAAAACTCTGTTCATGTGAAAGAGAATTTCAAATGCTGTTGCTACACAAGAGCAACAAAAGAAAGCAAAAATATTGCTGCTTTTATTGTTAAGATAGCGTGGAGGAAAAGAGAATGTATCAAATATCCTTAAAATGTTCCTGTCTGCATTTAAAGAAATAAAATATCAGTTTAGAAAGATAGGCTGAAAACACCCCTGCTGTGCTTGAAGAGTACATGTTGGGAAATACTCTGAAACCTTAAGTACCATAGAAAAGTAGGGACAAAATGTTGAGAGATAAAACAAATGACACTTTTTCATTTGTGATAACCAGTTTCTAAGGGGCATTGTGCATTCAGTTATAAAATAAGCCATCTGGTTTTGAAAAAATGATTCCTGATCTGGGAGTCAGCCTGATTTACAAACCACAGAGGAGGCCAGAGCAGCTAAGGTAACTCTACTGAGAACCTGAAAAATCTTACAGATAAGTATTACCCAGGTGCTGTGTACCTTTATATCCCTCCTAAAGTGATTGACTTGGATTAGAATTATTTGTTGAGAAATTAGTTCCTTGAGGAAATAAAGGCCATTGCTGAAATTTCAAGCAGACATTAAAACCAGAGGAAAATAATTAGGTAACAAAGAATAAACTAATAAGCACAAGCTCCTTCCCAATGCAAATTGGGATTCCTCTTTGTGGACAATAGTGGTTCTATTAGCATATCTGGCTTTGTTGGGAAAAAGCTGTTTTAAGTGCCACATAAATTTTTGGTTCAAGAGAAAAATGAGACACTGATAGAACCAAATTTACTGTAACAGTTCATTCCAGCCCACTGGAGTCTTTAGTGTCAACTTAAAATGCCAGAGAAAGCTTTGTCAAGGGAATTCACACTAGGAAATAAATGCAGGTGGTGTATTTATTGAGAAGTATTTTGCAGATCCTGATGTTTAAAATCTAGACAGAATGCTAGAAGTGCCAGAGGATGACAGTTTAATTAGAAAGTGCTGTTTTTATGGTGTTAAGATTTGTACATTCACTTTACATTTTACATTGGAATCGTAACAGTCTTAAACATATATGTAACAGTAATATGTATCCTCTTTTTTTTTTTTTTCTCTTATTGAAACTTACTACTTTATCATCTAATGAGTCTGCTGGTTTTTTTGTGAGGTTGCCCTGCTAAGAGCACATGCTGGGGAGCACCTGTTGCTTGGAGCAGCAAAACGGTCCATGGCATATAAGGACATTTTACTTTTAGGTAAATATTGGTTTTGTTTTACTTGCAGATGATGATGTTATAGTACATTAGCAACGATGTAGTCACTTAAGTGGGACAACTGTTCTGGCACAATCAAAGCAATGCATTCTGTAAATGCTAAATAGCTATTAATGACATAATGTCACGTGCCTGTTCTAGCAAAAGCAGGTGGATGGTTTCATGTGGGTTAATACAGTTAAAGGTCTATTGGAAAGGTGAAACCGTAATTTAAGGGAGCTCCTGGCAATTGCTTCCTTACATTTTCATCCTTTCTGCACCTTTTCCCATAAAAAAAATAGAACAAAACAACACCACCACAAAAACAGCATAAAAAAACATTAGTAAAGGAGCAGCCAGCCTGTTGAACATGTACTGCTTTCAGTCTTCATGAAAACCATTTATCTGGAGCTTTCCCAGGAGTCCTTCAGACTCAGAGAAGACTCTACTGGCTAAAATATTAGACATCCTGTTCCCTGCAACTCACTTTCCCAAGAACCCTCTCCCTGCTTCCTCAACAGTCCCCACGTGGCCACCACATAAACACCATTCCTGCTGTCCCTGCCCATGGCAGACGGGGGCATCCACAGCACAGCACAGCACCAGGCGCTCCTGCAGGAGTGTACTCTTGGTTAGCTGAAATGTCTGCTACCCTGGGCTGTTTAAAGGGAGCATGGCTGTGAGGGATGAGGATGTTGTCACTGATGGAAGCATGACTTCTGGTTCATGCAGCTGAGAGGTCAGTTGCAAGATGAGATGTGTGCCTGTATGGAGAGTGATGTCATGAGGCATTTGTCAGCCTTGTTTGACACAGTGCTCTGCCACTCTGAAGTGTACTCTGCCAAAAATGGTCTCATTAGACATGGTCAGCATTGGTGCTGTTTCCTGAGAAAGTCTCTTGGTTGTCTTGGACAGGACTTTTGATGTGAGGCAAGACTATATGGCATATGGACTCAGACTTGTCTCTTCACTGGTGGTGTGGGACAAGGACCTTTTCTACTACTTGTTCTCCTTCCTCTTTGGGCCTGCCTTTTCATAGGTCTAAATTAGCTTGAATTTGTTTTTACATATATTAAAACATTAAAAGGACAAGAAGGGCTTGGTCTGAAGGTATTTCTCTCACCAGCAATCCTTTCAAGATAAAGGATGTACAAATGGCTTTCTTAAGGTAGTTATTTCCCTAGATACAGTTTCACTAACAAGATTAACAGAAACGAAAAAAAATTACAATTTTATTTGGATTAGTAATAAGGTAATAAGGAAAACAATGATAAAATAATACTAAGAAAATTATATATCACAAGCAACAGCAGATATACAAAATGAAGAAAAACCTTGAGGCTTCAAGGTTTATTTTTGATACTTAGAGGCAAGTGTCTGTTTTATGAGTCATTTTGACATGAATCTCTTGTGATATAACTATCAGTTTTTCTTTCAAAAACTGTATGGTGGCTTCTGAAAGCTCCATGATATTCCTAGTGCTCTCCAGAAGGTGAATTAAGATACCATAGTGGAGATCTCCAAAATGGATATTTTAAAAAACTCCAAAAATCCAAAAAGCTCTAGGTAAAATTAATTCTTAACTGAAAATTTTACGATGCTCCTGAATTTTATTAGGAACAGCAGTAATATCCATTAGAAAAAGAAGCATTTCCAGTGTCTCCTCTAGTCTATTGACAAATCCTTTGGGATATATTATATTTGTTAGTATATTTATCTGTTATTTAAACATAAATATCTACTCGCTTCATACTTCTACATCCATATACCAGCCTTGGTCCTGTGGACTAATCAGTAACTACATGTTGGCATACTTACACGTATAGATTATTTACTGAGTGACTGCTATAATTTGCACATATACTCTGTTTGCAAAGAAAAGTTGTATGTGATACAAGGGAGAGTTATTACTTAAAAAAATTATTAACTTGATCAAGCAATATGAAATGTATTTTTGAAAATTGGCTTCATCTATTAAGTTACATCAAAATGTTTCTCTTAATTCCTATGTTGGTATTCTTTCTCTCTAAGGCAACAATTACATAATTCATCGCAACAGCACTGAAATAGAGATCTGCCGAGTAGCAAATCGGATTCTGGATGAATTAGTTCGTCCCTTCCAGGAAATTCAAATAGATGACAATGAATATGCTTGCTTGAAAGCAATCGTGTTTTTTGATCCAGGTATTTTTACAAAAATATCTCTCAATTGTTTTACATGTGATTGTATTGAAAGTAATTTTTGTTAACGTAGCATCTATCTAGTTCATGCTATCTAGCTGAATGGAAAAGAATAAAATGAAAGTAAGATGCTCCTCCCAAATTGTAATATGCCTTGACTTTAAGTTTTTGTCATTTTTTAAGATGCAAAGGGCTTGAGTAATCCAATGAAGATTAAGAATATGCGATTCCAAGTCCAAATCAGTTTAGAGGATTATATTAATGACCGTCAGTACGACTCCAGAGGAAGATTTGGAGAACTACTTCTTCTACTGCCTACACTCCAAAGCATCACTTGGCAAATGATTGAGCAGATACAATTGGTTAAATTATTTGGGATTGTTAAAATTGACAGTTTGCTTCAGGAAATGTTACTGGGAGGTAAGCTAACAATTTGTTAAATTTACCATCTTGTGTCATGTTGAATTTAGCATGTTGGGATGTGTAGGGAATCCTGATCTAAGCTACCACTCTGACTCACTGTCTGAGCTTTGTGTTGTGTAATTGTAGCTAAAGCCTTCTTGTCTTGGCAGTTCATCTTGTTAACTTAGTCCTACAAGTAGAGATTTTGCTATGTACTTCTCAGTAACTCCTGGGTTGTCCTACAGTTCCCTAGGCAGATGAAAGAATCCCTAGAAAAATTTCATGAAACACACTGTTATTGCAGTCAAAGCAGTGAAAATAAACACAGTGCTTAATATGCTTGAAGTCTGCTTAAATTGTTTAATGAATACCCAGAGGCAATTATTCAAATTGCCAATCAAAATATTTACTCTGTGGAAATGTAATTACTGAAGTATAAGTCACTGGCAACAACGTGCTCTTTTGCATTGATACATGCTTATGTTATTTTTGCAGGTACTTCTAATGATGCCACTCATCTGCATCATCCAATGCATCCTCACTTAGCCCAAGATCCATTAACTGGCCAAACTGTCCTCATAAGTTCAATGTCTGCTCCTGTACATACAGAACAGATACGTAAGTAATTGCAAGTTAGCCTTCTGTCATAACATGTCACTGTTTCATTTTAAAATATTAATTAAAATGGTGGCCTGTCAGTGTGCACAGAGCTGTTTCATCATCATTCTTAAATTAAAATAATTGTGCATTAAAAATGTATGTATATAAATGGTGTTAAGTAATAGACTTTGACCTGAATTTAATTTAATTTTAAAAATTCAGCACCATTCTGATATATCATTGTTTTTACATGCACAATCTTTAATAAACTAAAAATTCTGATCATTAAAATATCCTGTTTCCCTAGCATGCCAAGGCACTCCCTTTCCCAGGCATACAACAGGACTCCTTTTCAGTGCAGCAGTATGTACATGTAGAGTAGACCAGGCTATAAGAATATGTAATTATTTTTATGGTTTTTTTTTTCAGCAACTCCAGAAACTCCATTACCTTCCCCTCCACAAGGCTCTGGGCAAGAATACAAAATGTCGGCAAATCAAGCTTCAGTCATTGCACAGCAATCTATTTTGAAACAAAAACCATTGTGATAATATTTTTATCTCTGTCTTAGCCTTCCTTCCCTTCCTTCCCATCCTTTTCATGCACTAGATAGATCGGTATAACACTTGCACATGTAAAATCTCAGGTTGATAAAGGAAATTATTTCCTCAGCAGCCACTACTAAGTGGGTGTTCCTTAAAACACCTCATGATTTGGAAAGTAATGCTGTTCTGACTACTGCATACTGCTGTAACTGTGGATGCTGCAGTCTGACAAATCTGTATAGAGGTAGATATTGTTTTTACATCTTATAAATGCACAGATTCATGTTTTATTTCCTGTTTTAGTTGTTGTCTTAATATTATTGTTTTAGATGTGTATGTAATTTTTTCATTATAATGGAACTGGTTAGTGCTTGTTTAGCTGTGAATTGTAGACATGAAAAAGTGGGTTATTCAGGCAAAAGCCAAGATTCCACTAATAGTAGAACATTAGGATGCCAAAAAAGTACATGAATAAAAAAAGAAAAAGAAAACATACTTAATGGGCAGAAAAACCTAACTATTTTTTAAAAAATCCTGATTTGAAAGGAATATCTCTTTCAAGTAAAATTTCAGCAAAAACACTGAATCCTCCCTGCTTAACAGTTTGTGTGAAGCAGGCAGCCTGCCTGGGTGACTATGCTTGAGGACTTCTTAAAAGCTATATAAAACACATATAGATATTTTGTCTATACATAGTCAATTGGCCGGTGCTGAAGCATTTATATGGATAAATACTTAGAACAAGGACTGGTAGGCTTTTTGGTCTGGACTATCTAGTACTTTCCCAAAAAGTTTATGGGCACACTTTGGGAATTAGGCCAGTCTAGGGACACTTTTAACAGCCCTTTGGACACAGCCCTTCTCTTTAAGGGTACAGAAAGTATCACAGAACCCCAAAATAAGCTGAGTTGGAAGGGACCCACAAAGATCATCGAGTCCAACTCCTGGTTTTGCACAGCACCATCCCCAAGAGTCACACCATGTGCCTGAAAAGGTTGTCCAAATGTTTCTCTAACTCTCTCGGGCTTTTCTGTGACCACTTCCCTGGGGAGCCTGTTCCAGTGCCCAACCACCCTTTGGTGAAGAACCTTTTTCTAATATTGAACCTAAACCTCCCAGCACAGCTTCAGGCCATTCCCTTGGGTCGTGCCCCTGGTCACCATAGACAAGAGATCAGTGCCTGCCCCTCCTCTTGTCCTCACAAGGAAGTTGTAGACTGCAATGAGGTCTAACTTGGACCATGTCATTTGACCTCAGGGCTGGAGTATACTTTGGTTTACTAGTGTAAGAGTAGCCATTGTGTTTATTTGTCTAACTGAGTGGTAAATGCATGTTTTAGCAATCACTAAAATTCACTTACAGAAAAGTTGTAAGTAATGTAGTAGCTCTGTATTTGAAGAAGTATGACTTACTAAGTGCAGTGACAAATGTGCCTGAGTTCAGCTCCAGGTGTTCCTGGTTTGAGCCACGATATTTCAAGCCAGAAGGCAGACAGAAGACAGCACACCTTCTCAATTCACATACTCATCCTCTCAATTTTTAAGAGTTTTTTTAAGATAACTTGGTTTTCTGTGATGAGCCCCTTTCTCTGCCTCTTCCTTCCCTTCTAGTCTGGGGATCCAACATTGACTAGGCTTTGTGTCTGGAGTCCATAACAACTCGTCTGTATTTGGATCCTCTGTGAATTTGCACAAAGTGGACCTTGTGGACATATGCACACTTGGGGCATTTATACTACTCAGTTACAATTTGTGAAAGTAAACTTTCATGATACATGAAGTGATATGTTGTTCATAACATCATAAGAAAATCACCACTTGGCACATTTTATTTATTCCAGACAGCAATGATTTAGTACTTTAAAGCAAAGTTTCTACCAGAAGATATGTAAGAGACAAACAGACAAAAAAGAGATAATAATATATTGCAGTTTGCTAAACTATTGCAAAGAGAAAACATACTGGAGTCAGAAATTCTTCAAGGAGAGATGTTGATCATCTGGAACCTGACACCTTCATTAATCACAGCATCCAGAGATGGTGCAGTTACTCCCTTGGCTTGTAAAAGTTGCTCAAAAAATCTGGAATGATTCTTCATATACATTTTTGTAGGCAGGAAATGCAACACAGTAAATGCTGAGCTGACCTGAACATTCAAAAGTCTTTAATAAGAATGCACCTACCACCAGGTAGACACTGTGCTTCTTTGTTATTTTAAAGTAGTTGCTTTTGTAAAGTCTGTATACAGTAGCTATTGATGTTTGCCTTTTGCTTTTCAGATCCTTTTTCTTTTTGCAGTTTACTGTTTGTTTTTTATTAATGCATTGCTCTTACAAGCTCATTTTAGTATGAGTTTTTATGACAAAATAAGGTACTGAAGTTTTGCCATTAACTTTAAGGGTATCCAGACTGTGCTATTTTTATAAATTGGCCACCAATGCTTTACAGTGATATGCAAAGGTAAAATAAATGTGAGAGATACTGAGCAGCCCAAAAGTTTACTGATTGGGCTCACTTTTTTGTACTTGTCATAGAAAGAGTGTTGGACTCTAGGTGGATCTGCATGAATTTACTGAGTCAGATAAATTATGTCAGTTGCATAAACACGGCAGTATTGGTCTGACTGAAAATGTATAATTGGGAATAAAGTTCAATCCCCAAGCTGGCCACCCTTGCCTTATATAAGAGATGTGCATAATAGCTTACTTTATTTTTCATAGTGAACTTTAGATATCAAGTGTACAATAAAATGTTTTCACACACTGCCAAAATGTACTGGAGGAAAAGATACTTTAGTGTTTTATCTTCTAAAAAGCTGTTGTCTATTTTGTACGATATATTACATTTTTGAATAAGAACACCACTGTAATTTATTGGGAAAAGCTGATTTATTTTATAAATGTAACATTATTTTTGTAAACTTAATTATGAAAAATCAGAAATGATTAGTGCTGTTAAATATTAAATTATAATGAGATGTAACTTTATATGTTTGACACCAAGTTTTTGTATTGAGCATTTGGAATTGAAATGGTTGCTGGAAATATTTTAAATGGACTGTTTTTCATCAAAGCTCAATAAAGAAAAATGAATGATCCAAATGACACATTTCCCTTTTAGTATTTTTTTTTTTTTGCTATTTACATAAAGAATGAGAATGGTTTCTTTTCCTTACACAATGAATAAGTATTTAACTAACATGCTTTCATCTCTGCAGTGTTCACAGCATCACAGAATGGCTGAGGTTGGAAGGGACTTCTGGAGGTCATCTAATCCAACCCCCTTTGCTCAAGCAGGATATTGAAATCATATGAGATGGCAACATTTTAGTTGATTTTGCTGTAACAATGCAAAGTATTACATAGCTATAGTCTTCAGTTTTTACTTCTGACTCAGAAAAGAACTGAAGCACATGCGTAATTCCATCTGTGTTTAAAATTAACCATAAGTTCAACAGCCTGTTGTTTTCTGCACAGAGATAACTTATGAATTCACTGCCTTTGCTCCAGTGCACTGTTATTAAAAAAATTTAGATGCAACTTGATAAAGACATTGTAAAATTTAGAAAGACTCTTTACAATATATTATTTTAGATAACCAGTATCTCCTCTGCCTTGGAAATTATGTTCAGTTGCATGTCTCTTTACTAGATTTTTAATGGAAATGGGGTTAGTTGTTCAATTGGTTGGTTTTGAGTATTTTTGTTTTGTTGTTGGTTCTTTGTTAGTAGGAATAATGCAGTGATTTGGGCTGCTTACTTTTGCTCAAATGGGTTCTACTCTGGAGTGCAGAACTACAGGGAAAAGCTGTCATGGGAGGGAGACTCCCCTTTGGATGCTGGAGATCTGATCCCTCTGACAAACCTGAGTCAATGTCTGATTATTCTACATGCAGGAAATCTCTACTTGTGATACTGACTGGGGTGTAGGAGGTTTATGATTTTAGGCAACTGAAGAAGTTTTTCTTCTCAGGGAATATGGAAACCCTCTTACAACTTCAATGCTGTGACATACTGACAGACTATTTTTCAAGGATTTCTATCAGCTTTACAAGTAGCTCCAATAGGTGAATCGGATTGTGTGTTTTACAGAGAGAGATGGATGAACTAGCTTTCAGTTCTAATCATAATCCAGAATTTCTCCCAACTAAAGAATTATGAAAGTGAGCAAAGATATTTACTAAGCTCCAGGAATCTTCTGTGACAGAAAATTTAACATTCACAAAATGTAAGAAAATTTATTATAATTCTTTGTTTTATACATATACTTGGAAGTTCTAGTTTCACCTCAAGGGTCTCTGTCAGTCTGTGATGGCCTAACTTTTTTTATGTCTTTCTCTAGACTATTTCTAGTTGTGCACCACCATTTGTGATACTTATGCTAAAGTGTATAGTAAAGAAATACTTGGATCCACATTTTAATAAGTCTATCAAAAATCTTATGTATTGGTTTGCAATTAATTTTTACATTTTTCTATTGGGTTTGACACAGATGCATTAGCTTTCTTCTTTCCCTTTATTCTCCCAAGGAATAAACAAAAAGTGGAAAAAAATTATTTCTCTCCAAAGTTAGTGTTATGATGTTAAACAATGCAATTTGGCTTCTCTTTCTTCTGTTGTTTTTCTAATATGGAGATAGAGGAGATTGTTGTCATCAAGGTTGACATCAATCACTGCTTTCTTTTTGTTCTGTATTTTCTTGTGGCAAATCCAAGTATTTTCATTATTTGAATAGTCTATGTGTAAATAATAAGCCCTCTATAAAGCAAAAAGCTAAATTTGATTGCAGAGTGGATTAAAGGTGCTCAATTGCAGGAACATATTTTCAAAAATTTATTTAATAAAAATTAAAATGCATGTCTGATTTCTAAACAAAATCATAAGTATTTCTATAAAAGGCTAAGAAACTTGAAGACAATCCAATGTAAAGATTTTTATATAATGACAGTGAAAGAGAATTTCCATTTTGTATCACCAACTATGGTAATTTCCTTTTGAATATCATCTAAACAGGATGGGCAAAATCTCATCAAGACATATGCCTTAAAATGTTCTTATGACAATGATCTCTAGTCCTTAATATTGCGGTGGATCTGTGATTGGTACCAACATTATCTGGTAGTTCACCAGAATCAAGTGTCAAAGATGCCACAGCAATATTTGATTTACTGATGCTGCTGAGGGTTGCCACCTCCTCACAAGCAAGGCCTGATGTGACAACTTCTCCAAGTCACATCGTGGCAGGACACCCTTGCATCAGCACAGAACTCTTAATTACCCAATGATTTTGGGCCTGACACCACTTCTTCCATTTGCAAGGGTGAATGTCATCAATGTCCAACATGCTGAGGTGAACAGCAGCAAGTGTTGAAGATTTTCCTTTAGCCAGTCTGATCAAGGGGTAGTTTCATCTAAAGCTTAGCACTCTCCTCTGAGAATAGAGCAGAAAGCCTAGAAATGCACCGTTTTAAAATG